TTTTCATAAATAATAATAATGACCTTTGCTGTGCTAAAACTATAGTAATAGCTTTAGCAATCACCGGAAAAGATCCAATATATATATATATATATATATATTAGAGATCAACAAAGACCACTGCTTAAACGTAGGACTAAAGACGTACATACTTCATCTAATGTTCTGGAAAGACCTTGTGGAGTAGAAGAATTTTCTAAATGTTAATGTCTTTTAAACATTCAAATACATATCCTTTCTTTGGACAATTTCAACTGCGTAATTTATAAAGATCCTTCATGTCCGGGAAAAGATTTTCCTATGGTATCATGATCATCATTTTGACTTTATCACATCAATGAAAAGCTTCCTCGGTGGAAGTTATTATTGTTTAGATTGCTACAAGGGATTTTAAAATATAAATAAACATCAATGTTCAGATTATTGTAACGTTTGTTACAGTAATGAATATTTGAAGGTCAAACTATAGTTTGTGCTAACTGAAAGAGATTTTGTAAATTGACAAACTCTCACAACCCACATAAAACAAAGAATGGAAAACAAACAGTATCTTCATGTGAAAAGTTTTAGCATTGTAGAAATTGTTTTTTATTATTGACAGAAAAAACGTAAACCAGAGTTTCATCGATGTGGTGAAATAAGATGCATACAATGTGACTGAGAAACTCCATTTGTGTGCATATGAGAAAACACTTTCCTGGCTCCAGTTTAAAGCCTGCTTTTTTATCTGCAAGAATACTATTCACAGGTTCTGAGCCACAAACTCGAACATGCCACCAAACACTAAAGCATTGTCGACATAGACCAAGCATTAATACCATTGCAGCCCCTTCAGTGTAATTCCATTAGTCTCTTAAAAGTAGGAGACATGTTATATAAGCCAATGGCATGAAACAGAAATCATACAAGCCATCTCTCATGCTAAAAGTATCATCTGCCCTCATCATTCAACTCAACTTAACAATACCCAGATGCCAGATATAAAATACTGAACCAATGGGAACCTTCTAAGGCAGCAGACATTCATCTGTTTACAGCAAAGGAAAATTGTCAAGATAAGTTACCTTGCCTAAAACCAAAACAAATCCTTGGTGAACCTTCCTTCTTCCTGATAATCACTACTGGAGACAACCAAGCAATCTACAAAGACTGCATGGCTCCATCTTTCAATATCTGCTGTATTTTATCACTGGGTGTGTCTCCAAGTGCTCCAGTGAACCTGGCACAACAGTTTCTTTATTGAATATGATTTGTCTGTGCCTCTGTTATGGCAACTCACTTGCTTCACACAATCAGTGATCTAGTCCCACAACTACCTCAGTATATTCAATCAACAAGTCACTGAGTTGTTTGTGCTGTGTTGGGTCTAGACTGTTTGCACAATCCTCAACCAATGATTTCAGACATACTTGATTTAGCCTTGGCATTACCATTAGCTTCGGTTACTTCTGCTTCATTTATCATACCTATAACCATTTTAGCATAAAGATGAATAGCTACAAAACAACACATAAAATTGCTTGGAAAACCACTTTTATATATGGAGGTAGATATTCCATACACTACATATGCGTATGTAATCCAATCTTACTGGGCTATATGTGACTAGCATCAAAGCACACACACCCATGGAATGTCAGTTTACCAGTTGCACAGAGATCTATCTCTACACTTAAATCTAGTCTGTCACCATTCACCAGAACAAAGTCAGTATCTACTGGCTAGATTGTGGTCTCACTTCACGTGCTTGATATATCACAAGATCTACCAGTATTTTTGTTGTTCCTGTATAAACTAAGAACTTGATATTTCACACTCGTAGCCTCACAGGTTCATATTAACCTCCATCCAGCCCTACAGAGAGCTGGGCTGACCACCAAGCTCTTTGGTATGTGCTATCTGCCTTATTCCTCCAAGTTGGTGGCATGGCCTGACTTGGACTTCATTAATTTTCTGAATTTGCAGTGGCATCATTTTCTTCTTACTATTGATTCTCCTGGACCTGTTGAGCCATTGGTCAAAAATGATAGTCCTGTCTACTTTGCTGGTGAACAACATACAGGAAATTCATTTGGCAGTACCTCAACATACACAAGCAAAGTAGATGTTTCATTCCTCCTCTCTTGATTGGTGTCCAGATGGAAGTATTTAAACTATAGGAAAGTTTGATAGCCCTGTTTATTCACTGGAAACCAGTATGGTTTTATCACATCATTAGGATGTATGGGTAGCTGATTAACCCTTAACATGGCTCAAGCTTGATATAGTGAAGGTACCTCAGTAGGACAGTCCATCTTTGGTAGCCACAACAGCTGTCACTGTGGGCTTCTTTCTCTCTAATGGCCAGCTTAAAGTTACCATTTCATACCTGGCCATGATATTAATTGCCTCATTTAGGGTGACGATGTCCTTCACACCCTGGTTATTCCTCATGGTCATGCCAGAAAGTCCTTTGATTAACTTATCCATACTATATCTTCACAATTTGCTGAAACCATCTCAGGGTACACTTCATCATGCAGACACCGCAGATTATCCCTTAAATACTCTTGATTTGGCTTAGTGGTTTGCTTTATTCTACACTGGGTTGAATTGGCAAGGCAACTTGGCCTATGGTGTATCCCAGTCTTCTTGTTTCACCTCGTTCAAATGCTCAATGGAATATAGGGCTGGACCTAGCCCAAAGGTCAGACACTGGATTGTCTGCTCCTGAGGTTTACTGTTCCAAGCAGCTATTTGCATGAATCACTTCAAAAAATGATCCAGATCTTTTTCACTGTGATTTTAAATATTGGTAACAAAATATGATTTTATTCATCCACAGGAACAAGTTGTGTTGTACAAAACCTCTCTCTTGTGGGTTCTTAGCCAATTTCTGGTTGAGATTCCACAAGTGTCATGGGTATGAGAAAGTAAGCATACTAAATAGCTACAAAACTCGGATGGACAGTTGGTCCCTGATCCACTGTGGTAGAGTGAATGAGTTGACTTTGGAATCTTGTCCTAAGTGTCTGTGTGACCCCAGGTTTTCTTGTGATCCATGGAAACCCTAGTAGGATACTTAAAGGCACAAATAGACTCGCAACTACCCATGCCTGTTGTCTCACCTACTTGGGAAACAGCTCTAACTGGTAGAGGTCATTCACCAGCAACATATTCAATCCCTGGCTGGTTTGGGTTAGTCTTGAGCTGATTAAAGGCTGTTACTCCAGCTGGTGATAGCCTGAGAATCCTGTAATACTACCTCATATGGTCTCAGACTTGATAGGTGAGATTCCACTGTAGTGACCCTCAAATGCCAGTGATTCACTTGCAATGTAATTTATCCTTGGGGAAATTCTCAATCTGCCATTCTGAAAACACTCACCTTTGGTCGATTGTCCTGAGTCTGCTATAGTAGGGGGGTTGATATCAGAGACCTTTACAACATTGGCAAAAATTTCATGGCCAGTTGAGGACTTCTTCTAAACTCGATACCTCTCTCTGTATATTTATCTCTCTTCAGTGGCAAACTCTCCCTCTCGAGCATCATTACTTGTACTCACAGAAAATACCACTTTTTTTCAGTAAGAAGTGTTCCTTTAAACTTGTATAACTCAAGAGTTTGAATTTGAGTAATATGCATGTTAAATGAACAGAAAACTCTACAATATAATCCTGTAGTCACAGCACCAAAGTTTTTCTTTCCTTCCAGTCTGTGGTATTCTCAGGTTAAAATTAATGTTGAATCTACGAACCCAACGAAACAATTGCTAACACGTGACTGATTATTTTCACTTAATATAGAAAATATTGTAACCTCTAGATATCATCTGCTCTACCAATGAAAGACACTAATGCCATCTACCATCTTACACAACATGCAGCATTGCAGAAATATTACCTGCGAGCAGACCGGGTATTATCGCTATAGAACACCAAAAGAACAAAGGTAGCTAGAACAATTTGTTTGTTTGCTGAATTTCTTGCAAAGCAACTGGAGGGCTATCTGTGCTAGTCATCTATAAATTTGAAGTGGTAGACTAGAGGAAAGGCAGCTAGTCAACACCTCCAACCGTCAATTCTTGAACTACTCTTTATCAACGAAAAGTTGGCTTCCTATCGCCACGCCCACGGCTGAAAGGGCGAGCAAATTCGGCTACGGGACTAGATCCCTGCGACCCGAAGATTGCAAGTCGAATGCTCTAATAACGAGCCCAAGCCAGGTCAGCTAGAACAAAGTCAACTTAGTTTTAGGGCCATGCGTTATACGAGAACTGCATAGACTTGGAATATACAAAAAGTTTGAAAATTTCTTTACTAAAATAAGAAAGTAAAAAACGCATGCTATACCAACAAAATAGATCTGTATCTTTGTGATTAATTTCTCATTTCTTTATTTAAATCATTTTCACTAACGAAACTTATCTGGCTTACGGTGTCTTGAGTGTATTGTATAAAATCATTGCATTCACAGTTACCGTGAAAAAATCTTCAAAGCAAGTCAAAGAATAACAATAATAATGAAAGAATAAAAAAAAATCCAGCCTGCTTAAAAATTCACGTAAGACATTAAAATTAAAACAGAATATCGTATTTCGAACCTCATAAGTCAAATAGCTGTACATCCCGAATTAGGAAAAGTGTGATCTTCAAACTTTTTTGTGATATGAATATTGCAAGTATTATTGCAAGACGGAATATGAAGATACTTTTGTGTTGTTTTTCTCAGTTAAAAATATAGGGAGCAAATGCTAAATTGAAGTGTTTAGTTTAAAGTTAATTTGAAATAGCTATTGAGAAGTATAAAAAAAAATGTTGCTTTATACTGTTATTTAAATAGTTATTACCAATATCTAATATTACCAAAGTAGACATTTTTTATCAAAATAATTTTATAAAAGAGATATAGGTATTGATAGCATAGTGTATATAAAGATAGTCCCTTATTATATCATGCGAAAGAGGTCAGGGAGTTTGGGGGCATATCATCTGCTGGTGGCGCCCCCATAACTCGCAAACAAAAAAAAAACATCATACGAAATAGAAGATCATGGCGTCTGCTTGTAGGATCGGACGGCTGCTTAGCAGCCAAACAGCTGTATTTCTTTGTGATATGCAGGAGAAATTTCGCCCAACTATTCAGTATTTTCCTCAGATTATTACTGTTGCATCAAGAGTTCTGAATGCTGCTAAGTCTTTGGACATGCCAGTTGTTGTTACTGAACAGTATCCCAAAGGTTCAACCTATCAATTGAATATTAATTAATGTAGTTATAGTTATAACTTGTGTTATAATGTATACTATTTTGCCTTGGCTTAGTTAAAAACGTATACAAAGTTTTATACCTCTAATATTAATAATAGTGGGGTCTCAACTACATAAAGACGGAATGGGTGAAATACCTACCAAATTTATGCTTGGTTTACTTTTGATAAGAAAATTAATCAGTAAAAAATATTACTTTTTTATTGGTTTCTTTTACTAAAGTGTAAAATAAGTATACCATAGGTGAAATTATTTAGGTTTCTTATTTAATTGTTAAAGGAGTGGATAGACCACTTTTAATAATCCATTTTAAATATTGCCTTACTACTCTGTTGACTTGTTTCAAGTGGTGTGAATTGTTACCTCAATGATGGAAAAGGTGTGGATTTGGTGTACTTAGATCTTCAAAGAAAGTTTTACATAAAATATTAGCAAAGAAATTGCATTGGTAGGGTTTGGGGAAAAAAACTAGTTAATTCTGGTTAGATGAGAGAAAGCAAAAATTTAACAGTGAAGTCCAGTTAAACGGGACCCTCATTACTAATGGAGTGCTTCAGAGTTAATACTTGCACCTTTGCTTTTTTTGTATTAAAGTAATTATACTGATTTTTTTTCTTGAGTTATGCTATTGAGTGAGTTGTTATTTACATAATTAAAGGTCATTTGCCAAATATAATATTTGTTCAACTTACAAATTGATCCAAGTCATGCAGTTGGTATTATCTCAACATCCTCAATGCAGCTAAAAACCTCAAGAGTTTGATCTCATCAGTAAACTTTACTAATTATGTCTATCACTACTGAGTCACCCCAGAGGCATTCCACTAGCAACAAGGTTCAGTTAGAAACAACTTTTTGCTTTTTTTTTTCATCCAGTCACCCAACAGTTCAATTAACTAGTTTTTTCACAACCCCTATCAATGTGATTTTCTCAGCTAATCTTTTATATGTCATAAAAATATTTTTGAAACTCTAAATGCTCCAAGTTCACAGACTTTCCAATGACAAGTTTTTGCTTTTCCTTATCCAACCACTTTACAATTCAATTAGTATGTTTTTTTCTAACCAATTTGATGCAAATTCTGAGTTACCTAGAACTTGAAACTATGCACTCTAGTTAGATGGTTTTTGTGAATGAGAATGGTTACAGTTATTGTGTGAGAAGGGATGTTAATATTTGTTTTCCATAGTGTGAGGATTGAGATTTCCATTACAAATCATATTGTCTTATATCATGTTTCTGGTTTACACACAAGTTGTTGAGTTTATACAAAAGTTGAGTTCTTACAAATAATGCATTATGTATGGATAATTATGATGTGATACATTGCCTCCTCTCACGGATATAGCTATTTTAGTTCAGTGCTGCCCTCTATATGCAATTTTTTTTCCCATGCCACCAGCCTTGAGCTCCAACATACTTCACCAACAATGTGGTTCAACTGTGTCTCGCATGTAAATCATCATGCGACAACCCTCCACCAATAGGAGTGCAACACACCCTCCCGATGCCTGTGACACACCCTATTTGATTTTACCAAACTATCACTTCTCATTTGGCAATGACTGTGTCAAGACATTTTTCATTGTGCTCTTCAATCATGTTTTTTAACTTAGGGAATTTTTGAAATTTTTTCAACGTTGATTGAACTGTTTTGTAATTTATTCTGAAGTGGAATGGTTATTCTCATTTTTCAAACATTCATGAACATAAGGATAACTTCTTTTTTTCTAGTTTTTCACTTATTTCTTCTAACACTGTTGTTGTTGGTTATTCATCTTTAATTATGAATTCCAAGGTTGAAGTTACCACCTCGAGGGAATACCATCTACCAGCACATTTACACAAGCTGCAGTTAAGAGGAACTTGACTATAAAATTATCAACTCTCAATGAACGAGAGATTGATGACTTGCCACTAGTATGATCCTCTTTCCTACCCCCACATGTATGTCGGCTGCTGGTGGCTAGGCTTTGGATTGTAGTTGACTTCCCAATGGTATGATCCTCATTCCTACCCATATATGGATGTCGGTTCCTGATGGCTGTGTTTTGGATTATAGTTCACTTGCTGTGTACGATTCCTCATGCCCTAGCCACTCTACACCTTGGGGCACATCCTTTTTATTCTCATCTACATTATAGTCTTCAAAGGGATTGAGATTCCGACATCAGATGGCTAGATCCCTATCCAACCATTGTTCTCTCCTTTTTGAATGTGTTCCTCCCATTTTCTGCCCATGTTTGTGACACTTCTTTTGACACTGGGCATGGAGTATACCTGGTACAGTAGTGGTGTGGTCTCCCACATATGATCTTCTACTGAAAAGTCTCCTCTTTTTGGGTGTTTTTCAGATGCTTTCGAAGGATGCTTCCCTCTTTCCCTTGCACTGGTCCCTCCACCTGTTTAATGTGGAATTTAACTACGTCTGTGAGGGGAAATAATGCATCATTTAGGAAGTTATAATTTTTCCTATACTGAAAATGTATTTCTGACAGGTACTTACCTCCCTAGGTACTTATTCACATTTACCACCCTTTCTCCCCACTGAAAACTGGTGCTTCCATTTACTGCTAAAGCTCGAAGTGATAATTTGGTATAATTGAATAGAGGGAGTCACATGTGTCAAGAGGTGTGTTGCACTTCTCTTGGTGAAGAGTTGTCGCATGATAATTTACATGTAAGATTCAGTTGAACCACATCGATTGTGGGGTACGTGGGAGCTCAAGGCTTGTGGCATGCAAAAATGTTTTGCATATAGAAGGCAGCACTGAACAAGAATAGCTATATCTGTGAGAAGAGGTAAGTACCTATTGAAAATACATTTTCACTATAGGAAAATTATAACTTTGGATTATTGCAAGTTTTTGATGGAATGGTTTATGAATGAGAAAAGTTGCATTTAATTTGGTTGGAATTTATTTGTTTATTGTGTTGGGATTATGGGTGACATGAAAGATGAACTTCTTTTTTTGTACTTTGCTTCTTCATATATGGGTTATTGGGTTCATACAAAAATTTTATCTGTAAGGTCTATTATTTAGTAATATAATGGGAAACCTTTAATAAAATGTTAGTGGTTACATTACATTCAAACTTTATATGCTTTTAGACTGTAATCCAGAATTCTAGTAAAACTGTTAATTACATAAATGCAAATTACTGGTAGACCTGAATACAGTGTAATTTGTATGATTACCTAATATATATGCCAAGTAATATTGTTTCTTTTGAAGACTGAAAAATTTCATATGCAATAAATAAAAGTTTTAATTTGTAAACTGTAGAGTTAGAAAAAAACAAAGTCAACAATCATTGATGTATTTTCTTACTTCCTCATTATGTGGAGTAAAGAAAAACGTTTCTTGAAACTGCTTTCTAAGTAAGAAACTTAAAACCAATATGCATGTTATTGTCAAGCTTTATGCCTGTGAATATTAGCATATTGTGTAATTTATCTTTTTATTTTATTACTAGTTTTGTTTCAGCTTTAGTTATAAACTAGAATTTGATTTGTATATATACAAATATTTTTTTAGCCAAAGCTAGTTATGTAAATCATAAAAACAAGTACTTGTCTGAAATATCTGACATAATGTTTAAAGAAGTAAAATTAATATTAATTGTGGTGAATACATAAGCAAAGATCATATTTCTCCTTGATTGAAGATGCTGTTACTGGATCTTGATGTGCTGAAATGAAAAAATAATTACATATTTTTATAAATTTTCAAAGAAATTTTACGTTAAGCTTACTGACCAAAAATGTTGAATCAAATGATATAGCTCTATGTATATCTGTCTCTATGGTATGGTATAATATAATGACTATTTTACAGGTCTTGGACCATCTGTTCCTGAACTAGGATTACAAAACTATCCTGACCTAAAGCCAATTGCCAAGACCCAATTCTCTATGATGACCTCAGAAGTAGAATCATTTCTGAAGTCTCAAAAACAAGAAATAAAATCTGTTGTTTTGTGTGGAATAGAAACCCATGTGTGTGTCCAAGGCACTGCACTGGCTTTGCTGGAGAAAGGTTTTGATGTGCATGTTGTGGTTGATGCTTGTTCTTCTCGAAGTATGGTTGATAGGTAAATGTTTTGTGTATTTTTATTTTGTGTTAGCAACCTGTCAATGCAACAGATGGAAACTATTCTAGCTGAATAGCACAAATTGAGAGGATGTTATAAAATTAAAAATACCTGTAGATAATTATATCCAATTTTGACATTATGTGTCAAAATATTTCACATAATGAATTATAATAATATTGCACATTTCAATTTTATTTTATGTCTGACAGTTGTTTATCAGAACTGTTATTTTGGAGTTTCTTTGTACTATTTCTAATTTATATAGTTCTTGTTGGTCTAGTACCAGGTTGTAAATGTTTTACGTTTTGTGTTGTTTTATGGAATTAACACATAATTTGCTTTTACATTCATGAGTTCGAGATTTTAGAATCACTTTCCATCTTTCAAATATGAATTTTATAAAATCTGCTTAAAAAAATAGTTTATTCACTTTCACTATGGAATACAGGACATAAATAAAAAGTTTTAATATAATTTTAGTATTCTTGTCTAATTTTTAGTGTTATTACTGATTTTATTGTGTGTTTTTGTGATAAACTGGATATTCATGAAATATTATCTTTAAACAATTATTATTTTTTTGCAGAATGTTTGGCTTTGAGAGGATTAAAGCTAGTGGAGCATGGCTAACTACAAGTGAAAGTGTAATCCTGGGGCTGGTTGGAGATGCTGCCCATCCCAAGTTTAAGGAGGTGCAGAAAATTATATGGGACTCTGCTCCTGATACAGGTTTGCTAACACCATTGCCTGGAAAGAAAGAGTACTAATACATTTGGATATATCTAATGTATCCTCTAAAATGTAGTATTCTAATTTGATTTTCAGTGCTTCATTAATTAGAATTAAAAAATTTGTTATTCCTATGTGCTAGTTTGTGTAGGAATTTTTATATGTTAGTTTGTATTATTCAAATTTTAAAGTTTTAAGTGTTGTGTAACAAACAATATTTGGAAGTTCCATGAGCAGGTGCTGCTTTTGTAACACTAAGAATAGAAAAAAAGTGAATTAAAACTTGGGGAAGTTATAAAATTACAAAGTATGTCTTAGAAACATCTATACAAATACTTTAAAAAGAATGTCTTTCTCTTTTAAACCATCCCAAGAGTAAAAACAATCCTATGTATGTGAAAAAAATTCATTAAACACTGTGCTTAAGCATGAAAAAAATTGTAAAGTCTGATTAAAGGTTTAATTAAATTGATATTTTAACTACATATGGATATAACCTTATTTCTTTTGTATTTTATTTCAATGAACACTTATTATAGGGTGTTACAACCATTTTTAATCTCAAGACATCAAAATTCAAATTCATAAGTAAGTTAAAAAAAAACGTTTTGCAGTTGTGCAGACTAGTTTTTTATCAACTCAGTCCTTGATAAAATTGGTCAATGATAGCAGTAATTCTATGAGTCTTAATATGTTAGACATTTTACTAAGGTTTTTTGAAATGATGTTGCAGAAAGATGTAAAATATGAGTAAAGTTCAGTGTATGTAGGTCTTTCATATACTTCTGTATAAAGTTGTTTGTGCTTATTTTGAACTAGGGTATCTGAAAATCGTACAACTGAATTTTTTTGGTGTTCACATGTAAGCCTGTTACCATTTTTTATGGTTTGTATAATTGACAAACTGTAACAAATATTCTTCATTTTTTAACACTATGAATATATTGGCAACGTAATGATTATATACAAAGGAACTAATCTGCATAGGATACTCACTTCTTCTCATAAGAATACATAAACACATTAGCATGCATCAAAGGAGACAAATTCATGTTTACCCCCATTTAGTTGCTCTTACAGCTCCTTTAAAGCTAGTAGGAGATTTTTTTAGTGGCAATTCCCTTCAGTGTAGTATGTGTTGTCCTAAAAGTGAAAAATTACAAATTGATATTCAATGTTTTGTAATCCTTTAAAGAAGAAATATAAAGAGTCTTGATTTTTGTAATTCAGGAATGGTCCTATCTATGTCTTGAAACAACATATCTTTTTTATTTAAGAAGTTAGCTGTCTAGATGAATAAACTTCACTATTATATAACAACCTTAAAGTGATAAAGATGAAAGCAGTTGACAAAACACAAAACATTTTTACTTACAGAGGTTAGAACTTTTTGTAATACACTTATACCATCTTCAGCAAAATCTGAAAATAATGTTACAATGATATTTATTACCTAATGCTATAATATCACCAATCATTAATACACTTAGATATTCAGTAAAGTGGTAAACAGAAGGAAAACAGATTGTAGAATATGTTACAAACATATTATGAATTACAAGTTGCATAAGACAATTATAACCATTTTTAACAAACAGCTGAGTTTTAAGTGGGTAAATTTAGAATAATTTTAGGTTTAAAGAGGTTTGTAAGTTGATAATAGTAAAGCAGACTTTAGCTGTGAATAAACTTTCTATAATGTAGAGTAAAAGGCCTGAAGATCCTGTAGCAATGATAGAGAAATTGTTAAATGAAATATTGTGAACTCTGGTTTAAACATACAAAGGAATAGATGAGTGGCAGTGTTTAATCTAGTTCTGTTTCATACTCCTAAATGTTCACAGACATTAGTTTTCAAGTGGTACTTTGTTTTACCAATTTATATGACCTTACAGTCACTACACGTGTATTTATACATGAGCCATAAATCTAGAAGTTTAGGTTTTCAATCTTTATATTGAAATAAGTGTTTAATGCAGAGGCTAAGTATCCTGTATATAAAAATCTTTTTTGTGTTTTGTCAACCATCTTTATTTTTAGACTTCACGAGTCCTTTGCTACCATATAACTTTCATAAAAAGGTTTATCGTATAAGTTTTCAGGCAGCTTACTGCTTACCTTCAGATTCAAAATCACAAAATAGATTGAAAATTCATAATACCTCTGATTGCTAATAAAGGTTCTTCTGCACCTTTTTTTTTTTAAGTCAGAATCATAAATTCATTCTACATGCATTTCTTATAACCTTGAACATGAGAAAGACATCACATTCCTTATACTTATTGAACAACACATGAACCTAAACTTACTATATTCTTTAAAATATGTTAGGTGTCTAAAACTGTTGAAATAATGTGTGAAGTAACTTGATTGTGCAAATACTATATCATTTGATATATGAAATGAAATAATTGAGTGCAATTTTTTTTTTACATTGTGCTATTTCTGGAACGGAATACAAATAATAAAATAAGAGCAAGTTCACAGGGCACTGAATATTTTTATGTTCATTTTTAGTGTGACAGAGTGAAAATCAAATGTATTTCATATGTATTGCATATAAATTTCTAAAATCCAGTTACAGAAATATTGTAATATGTGGAAATGTGCAAGTAGAAGCTTGCAAAAATTAAAAAAAAAGTTTATATGTATAATGTATAGTTAGAAACTCCCTACCATGACAATTACATTATAAAATAAAATGTCATATATTGCTCAATTAACTACATGTTAGGGACACTTATGTTTCTTTACATGAAAATGTGTAATTTTGTTGTTGTTATAGAGGTTGCCTTATTATTACTTGCATAATTAAGAAATAATGGTTGCTTGATGTATTGGTAGTTATGATATATTTTAACTTCTGCCATATTTTATGTAATAATAATGCAAATTTTGAAAATACAATTTTTATAATTGTTGTTTCCAATTTTCTCTCTCACTCTCAACTTTTGTTTACATTACTAAAATATATAATAATTGCCTGGTTTACTACTAGTGGTGGACATGTTGATTACTTCTTAAGACAATATAGTAACCTTTTGATAGGCTTAATCACATACATAAATTAATACACGCATGAGTTACTAATACTGGTGTATTACTTATCCCCCTTGTTATAAGCATATGAACAATGTGTTAAAAATATACATTTTTTTTTAACTTTCATTTTTTTAAGCTAATCTAAATTTATCTCAAACTTCAGTTATCACATCTTTTTTTAGTGTAGTAGTTAGGGAAATGTATAACTCATTGGATTGCAGCTGATTTGGGTTTGTTAATACAAAAGGGGAAGGGTGGTCATCTAAAGTCAACCAATGAGTAAACCACTACAATTATTTTACTGAAATCACTGGTAGTGTAAACAAAGATTAACTATATCTTCTGGTAAATGGTAGTAGAACTAGCTTTGCTGTGTAATCCTAGAAGTAGGGTTTTAGAGAACCCAAAATTAAAATGTCAATTAAGACTGTACTAATCTTTGAGAAAGGAAACATTAATTGTGTTTGTAAATATTTCTTTGTGAGTTTTTATTGAAATGAATTCTAGCAATGAACTATTTAACTCTAAAACTCATATTTTGAAACTTTTTCTACAGTTATATTGCACAGAGTGATGTATAGTCTGTTGTATGATTTATAGCTTACATGATTTAGAATGTATAGTCCCTTAGAACCATTTATGTTAAGTTGAATTATGACCAGGTATTTCTCATTGAAATCATTCTGCAGGTTACTTGGGTAGGTAATTAGTTTCTATGTTTAGTGTTTGTGTCAATATAAGTTATCACTGCTTTGTATATGCTACAAACAAAGTTATATAACCTGAAATGCATATACTTGGTTTCATCTATGCTATGTATAGTGGTCTCAAACAGTCTTGATTCATTTGTAACTTTGAAATGAATCATAGAGTTTAGTGTCCCAGATTTTTCATGAACCATAGCTTTTATACAGTAGTTTAGACACCTGGACTGTCCTCCATAACACAAGCAGATTTTCACTATCTGTCAATATAGCTTGCTACATTACAGAATACCTGTTCTGAGAATGAATAATTTGCAACTAGACATTGTGTAAGTGTTTGTATGGTTAGAAACAAACATTAATAGTTAAGTGTGTAAGCTAGTTTCCCAGTAAGGTGCTTGTTGCTTAAAGCATAGCAAAAAACAGCTTGTTAGCAGTAGTACATTGCCAAGAAAACATGTAGTGCAGTGCCAAGAAAACAGGTGGTGTGGTGCCAAGAAAACATGTAGTGCAGTGCCAAGAAAACATGTGGTGGAGTGTCAAGAAAACATGTGGTGCAGTGTCAAGAAAACCTGTAGTGCAGTGCCAAAGAAACATGTAATGCAGTGTCAAGAAAACATGTGGCACAGTGCCAAGAAAACTTATAATGCAGTGCCAAGGAAACTTGTAATGCAGTGTCAAAAAACATGTAGTGTGATGCCAAGGAAACTTGTAATGCAGTGTCGAGAAAACATGTAGTGTGATGCCAAGGAAACATGGAATGCAGTGTCAAGAAAACATGTAGTGTGATGCCAAGAAAACATGTGGTGCAGTGCCAAGAAAACATGTAGTGCAATGCAAGAAAACATGTAGTGCAGTGGCAATATTCCTTTTACAGGTGAGTTGCCCTTCATCCTGTTGTTGGTGTACATTTATTTGTTGAGAATCTGAAACTAGATCCAATCCCTTTTAATAAACATAGGTGAACTTACTAATTTCTACATCAAACATAATGGTACTATTATTGTTACACATTATAAGGGCTGAATACTACAACTCTTCGTGCTACCATGCAATGATGCAGTTAGCCTTTACTTCAGCTTAATGGATCATAATGCTCATTCCACGTTACTATACTGGTGAACATATTTTCTTGAAAAACAGGGGGATTGATTAAATGAGATGGTCTACATTTTTACAATACTTCAGTCCACTGTGAGTCAGAAACTAAATGCCCTAGAAACAGGTTTATCAAATGGATGGTCAACAATACTTCAGTGTCTTATCAAGACCACTCTGATTTTCAGTATGTAAAAATGGTGCCAGGAATGTAAACAAAGTGACATAAACTTCAAAGTTGTAAACTCACCTCCATCAAATGTTAAAATAAAACATAAGCTTAATGACTTATTACTTGCATTTTGAATCATGATTGATCATCATATGTGCTTAGGGAGTGATTGTTTTGTGCAATGTAGTATCAAAGTGGCCAACAGGCAGTTAATTACAATGTAACAATATTGAAAATGAGAATGTTAAGATATATGCCCTAACTAAAGCCTGACCCTAGAACCCATAGCTTACAGTTATGTTTAGAAACCATTGTTCTACCAGTTAAACTACCATGACTTCAAATCCAAGGGAGATTTTAATGTTATATCCCTATGAACAGATTCATTCTTGAAGTTACAACAAAAATGCAATCTGCTGATCTCAGGTAGTCAAGATATGCCCAATCCAGCAAATTCATGCCAACAACATGTATAACTAGGTCACCTCATATGGATAACACATCCAGACAGCCCTCAAGGATAAGACAATCAGAGTTGGATAACAATATAATAAATCAGGATTCTACAAGATCTTCTCCAACTGGCTACTGAACTCAGGTTCTCATTAGTCTTTAGACTGATGCTCAAACAACTGAGCTACTGAACAGATAATATCAGACAGGAGATGTCACATAGAGAAAGAAATTCAATCTGCTTTGAGTTAACAACCTAAATTATATTTCAAATCAGTTTAACTAACAACTGAAATACTGAAAGCCTTTCCTTGTTGAGTTTTAATTCATGTGGTCAACAAGTGACTACAAAGTACTGAATGTCTTTTTATGCACTGGAAAGCACACCTCATTTACCATAATTCTCCACTTTTCACAGAACTTCTTGCATAAGTACTAGGGAATTTTACATTAGCTCTGCTTTCTCAATATAATTTATATTTTTTTATTCACAGTTGTGCTGTTCACTTTTCTACAATGTGCATTTTCTTGCAACTGTTCCACCCACTTGAAATTCCTACAACTTCATTGGAGGCCTTACTTAAGCAGTTGGCCTAAAGGGTGACAGTCCATTAGTCCGAGGGTCCATTACTCAAATGCCCAATAGTCAGAAGATATAGGTATTTTATTTAACAGATAAAATGTTAAATTGATTGTTTGGTTAAATGTGTGAATTTCTATGACAACAACACCCCAGGATGTGACCTAAAAGGTTGCAATTTCTCATGAATAATGTTTATCATCACTTACCTTATGTTATTTTCTTGCATGCCTGTATAGTATTAGCTGTAGAGCCTGCAAATTCCAGTATGGTCTTACCTCTTTTCACACATCGCTATCTCAATCTTCTTTCTGCCTTCTAGGCATTGCTAAAAAATTTTGGCACAGTGCACCAATTTATATACCTCATCAATTTTGCGCCATCATGTAAGTATATTCCACCAATGGTATTAGCACAGTAAGCTTCCTCGATCCTGGAGCATTTGTTGTTGTTTTTTAAATTTCGCATAGTGATAGACTAGAATGGAGGTAACTAATTATCAACACCTACTGCCAGCTGTAAGGCCACTCTTTTTACCAATGAAAAGGGATTTACCATCACATTATACCCCCCTCCCCAGGACTGAAAGGGTGAATATGTTCGGTGGCGGGATTCGAACTCTTGACTCGCTGGTTGGAGTCGAGCACCCTAACCAACAGGCCCATAAATGAAGCAAACATTGGATATAAAATTAAACAGATCTGAATCAATCGAAATCGTATTAACTAAACAAGAATTGTTATACAAGAACTGAAAAATTACGAAAAAAACATCACTGAGAGTAACAGAGAAATTAAACTCAAAACAAATTACATAAAAGTATAAAATAAGCAAAACCAAATACAAAATTTAAATGAACGTAAATACAAACTAAAAGTGAAATAAAATAAAATGATGAAATATAATACGGAGTTTAAAGTTGTATATTACACAAAACTCAAAACCGATGTAAACAAAATAAAAGAATTAAATGAAAAAAAGCAAATTGCGTAGATGCATGCAATATGCACATGATGTTTACAAAGTACTTTAGAGGCCTTGTAAATCACCATCTTTTGGCTCTGTTCCTTCAAACTTATTCATCTCTCTGGTGGTCCCTCCTTTTTTTTACATAAATACCCAGGCCTCCATCCAATTTGCTGACTAGGCCTAGCAGTGGTGGCACCAGTGATTGTTAATTAGAAGAATGAAATTAATGGGAGACCACTTTTAGCACTACTTATTGATAACACATCTAACTGTTTTGCCTTTGCCACAACTGGATGATGAATGCTGTTCTCCCAGGATCGAGAGACAGCAACCATATTTTTACTTCCATTCTTCAATAACTAAAGCTCAGGCAGAACCTTTCTCAGGTTGGTCATCTTACAGACATCTTTAAAATGCCACAGTGTGTGATTTTTATGTAACATAGTACTCATATCATGGAACAGTGGTGCCACTCCCCTTCCCCCCTCATTTATTCCTTCGTTACTTTGGGGAAGCAGGTGAAGGCATCGTGGTGATCATATCAGTAGAAGTGACTGTGACAGCTTCCAGAATTGGGACCAAAATCTCCTTTGGATGATTGTCTATCATAGTCGCTGGTGTAAAGTGAGGCATTAGGAGCACCCTAATTATCAGACCATGCCAGGCCACGTTTTATGTGGTATAAGTCAAGATTGAAAACTCGAAGCCAACTCAACTTCTCATAGTCGAAAGTGCAGTGAACAATATAAGGTTAAACATTTCAACCAATTTGGTTATGACATGAAACGTTCTAAGAAAATATCTTCTCGCGAGACTTCGAGTATGTACCACATTTTACAATATCAATAGTGGATGTGCTCATCGCTGTACTGCAAAAATACCTTTATTTCAAGTACTAGTGAATATACAGTCCATACAGTTTCTCAGGAAAAGAGCATATGCAACTATGTTAACCAGACTCGTAACAACACCAGCCCCTAGCAACAGACTTACCAGTCAATAAGAAAAGTCATATCACAAACACGTGAGTTTTCGATCATTAGTTACCTAAGATGTAGAGTTCCTCTTCCAATGGGGAAGAGGGAAAAATGCGAGCCAACAACTTAGATTGTTAACTAATTTTAGTGAAGTTAATCAGAAACTTTACAAAACAAAAAGGGAATAAAGCTATAACCTAGAAGATTTTAAAATATATCTATCTACAACATCAACCTGCTTTGGTACTTAATCCCTCAGTGGCACAGCGGTAAATTTGCAGACTTATAATGCTAAAAACTAGCTTTCGATACTCGTGATGGGCTCAGCAAAGATAGCCTACTGAAATTAAATAGTGTCCACATAAGTAAAAACACGGTTATATTCATATAGCTAACATAAAAATTACATTCCAGCTCTACATATATACACAGCGTGGTCACAAGTAAATAGACACCACCTTTTCAGAAAAAATTAAAATTTTCAGTCATATTCACATGA